GGAGCGGGGCTGGCGGGAGGCGCCTCGCCTCACACTGTCTGCGCCCGGCCCCAGGCCCGGGCCGGAGCATCACCTAAATTGGAATCCAGTGGCGGTACTAAATCACACTGCTGGCACACGGCGCGGCACGTCGCCGAGTTGCGCGCGCCCGCGGGCGGCCCCCGCCCCGCCTGTCACACTCTCCCGCCGGTCACGCCATCCTCCTACCGGTACACAAGCATCTCTTTTCGTCGCTGTTAAGCCCCCCGGCTGAGAGTGCAGCACCCAGCAGCAGCAACACCGATGATAATCCCCAAAGTGTATAAGAAAGAGGGAAGGGAGAGAGAGAGAGAGAGAGAGAGAGAGAGAGAGAGGCAGCTTCCTCAGAAGCACGGCCGCTCGCTCTGGCCCCGACGACGACGGCCCCTCGCTGCTGATGCCCGGTGCACAATGCGGCTATGAAGTCTGAAATTTATTAGTCTCTCAGAGAAATTGTTGTTCATGCATGTTATTTAATTACTTTCCTCCCGCCGCTGCCGCTCGCGCGCTGCCCGGCCACTCTTTCTCTCTTGCTCACCCGCTCCCTCCTCTCCACCCACTCCTCGCCCAATTCCTTCTTCTCTCTTTCCCGGTTCATGATAATAGCCTCCTACTACTCAGTACTGCAGAGGCGCCCAGAGCTCACCGCCGCCACCTTTCGCACCACTCCGCGCTGGGCTGGGATAGCTCCGGAACAGGGCACTCTTTGGCTTCAAGAGCATGATTGTTAATAAATTTCCTCACACATCATTATGAGTAAGGTTATGCAGCTCAGCTCGTCTTATTGCGGCGAATTGGATAAATACTCTGCGTAGGTATTGTATCGACGGTAGTAAGTAGTAGCAGCAGCTTCTTTGAATTGCATCGAGGTTGGGCGTGGCGAAGGCGGGGGAAGGGATTTGGAGGAGGGGGAGGGGAGGGGGGCGCAGCACCTGATGCACCAGCTCGCGGGGAGCGCTACATCACACACATAATCAAACGCCAACTGCTCGTGGAATCGAAATCTAATGAAATGGGAGGGTCTGGTCCGACTGCCCGTTTGCTCGCCGTTCCGCTCCGCCCGTTCCGTCCACCGATTGGGTGATAGTTTACGTAATTGTCCGTTCGACCAGCCCAAAACAATCATCGCGCCGTCGCCCAAGGAGAGTAATGAATGAAGAGGAGCAAATGGGCGAGGAGGAGGGCGGAGCAGGCGATACGTGACCAAATAAAGGATTTGTTTCTGATTACAGGGTCCGTGATTGAGCAAACAGTCTGAGATATCATCATCTCGCATGTCACCTCACCCCAAAAGACTCGCTTTACACTTGGAAGTCTGCCAGAGAGCTCCGGGGTCAAGCGGGAGCTGGGCGAAGGAAGGTCAGCGGGAGGTCACAGAGGGGCACGCTCACCCCGCGTTGGGGCCTTAACGGCCACGGGGTGAGCGTGGTGGAGAGAGAAGGGGTTGCAATCGAACAAGCACAGGTCACAGGGAGGTCGTGGCGGAGGTCGCAGGCCGAGGCAGAGGATGCACCCCCGCGCAGCGACCCCTCCCCGTGTGACCTTTTATATTAGGGGCGTCCAGAGTAGTTATTGACGAGCTGCCCCGGCCGGCGCCGCCCGCGCCGTGTCCGCTCGACGCCTCATCAACAATTGAACGGCGGGCGAACACGACTGCGGGAGCGCGGGAAAATGAATAAAAAATAACGGCCGTGTTTTTGTGTGTCTTTTTTCATAAAAGATGACACTCTGTGGCCTTACAGCAGCGCCAAGCACCAGACCGCGCCAACAAAGCGACAAAGTATTCATTTTTGAAACGTGAAAAAAACAATAAAACAAATAATGGTATTGCACACCATACAATTTACCAACATAAAATTACTGTATAGTCAAAGAAGTAACATTGAAGCATCGTATTGATATCATTTACATCATCCCGAGCATCATCCGGGTGACAGCCATACGTCTCCCTCGCACTCACGCAGGGACGCCAGCCACATCCTTTCGGCTCCAACCTGGTCGCCGCCGCGCCATCCAGCCGGGCCGCCAGGCCAGGGCCCGCCCGGGTTTGACAAATGAAATG